AAAACCACATGGGGCTTGTACTCACTGGGCCACGCTCCTAGTCTTTGGCGGCGGGTCCTTCACTCGCTACGGGTCTTCGGTGGCACTGAAGGACCTGCTGCCAAAGACACAGAGCGCCGTCGGGTGAATAAAAATTAAAAAGGCGCCTCTAGCCAGGGAAGGGATTCTCTGCCACTTGTCCCCCACTCAGCATGGGGGCCCTCTTAGGTGCGGGGCCCGATTCGGGGGAATTGGTGGAATTTGCTTAAAGCCGGCCCTGCTTGGGGCGGCACCTGGAGGGGGGCGGCGCTCACCCGGGGAGAGCGGGGCCGCGGCCGGGCTCTCTGCCCTCCTCCCGGCGCTCCGGCCGGTCGGGAGAGCGGGGCCCCGGCCGGGCTCACCACCCTCCCCCCGGCGCTCCGGCTGGCCGAGGAGAGTGGGGCCACAGCCGGGCTCGCCGCCCTCCTCCCGGTGCTCCGGCCGGTCGGGGAGAGCGGGGCCACGGCCGGGCTTGCCGGCCGTGGAGTGCGGGCCCGCAGTCGGGCTTGCCGCACTCCCCTGCTGCTCTCCCCACCGGGGGGCGGGGAGGGGGCGGCGGGAGGCTTTTTTGTCTAGGGCGGCAAAAAAGCCAGAGCCGGCCCTGGTCGCACGTATGCACTCAATAAAAGCACCAGGTTAGAAGAGACGCTCAGAGGGAACCATGGGCCCTTTGGGTTCTTCTTTCTTTTCCCCATCTAGTAAAAAACCTGCTTGCTTTTGTCCCTTTAAATTTAAAGTAACCGCTGCCCTTTGGCACTTCTGCTCAAGTTCCTAGGCAGGGAGGCAGAGTTCATGTTGGCTTCCAGTATTTGCATGTCAGTGATGCTAATAAGTTAGGTCTGTGCATATCATTGTAACAAGGAAATGATATGCTTCTACTAGCATCTTTTTCTCTGGAAACCCAAAGCTTGAGTAGATAACTTACTCGTGACCCCCGCACGAGTTGCTTGTCAGGAGCTCCATGGCTGACCCTGATATATGCTAGCCAAAGCTTTCTGTCCTCCCTTTTGAGTTTTAGGGGGTACTAACAACATTAGCAAAACAAAATGGCAGCCGTTTGTGTTCTTCTCTCCCGATCCCAGCCATAAGTGTACTCACACGCAGGAGACACTAATTATTGGGTGCTAGGGACTTAGTGGTAATACAAGTGACTGCATAGCTAGCAGGGCCGGCTCCAGGGTTTTGGCCGCCCCAAGCAGCCAAACAAAAACAAACAAAAAAAGTCGCGATCTGCGGCGGCAATTCGGCGGAAGGTTCTTCGCTCCGAGCAGGAATTGCCGCACGTGCCACCCCTCTCCGGAGTGGCCGTCCCAAGCACCTGCTTGGTAAGCTTGGTGCCTGGAGCCGGCCCTGATAGCTAGCTGTGTTATTGTGTGGCTAAACCCATTGTAACAGGCATCACTGATAGGCACAAATAGCTAGTCCTGATCCCACTCTCTAAAGCCCAATTTGCAACTGGGACACTGCTTGTATCCCCACTGTGTGATAGTCTCTTTTAGAAAGCTTCTTAATGCGTGCCAACCTGCTCCTCCTCCAGACTCTTCAGTGTCTATTCTTTTACTGACAAAGGCAAAGTTGCGGTATAGGGCTAAAGTCTGGAGCCAACCACAGATCCACCAGACTGACTTCAAGTCTCTTAAAGAAATTGGATATTGAGGCACTTACAGCTGCCAGCTCTCTTTTATCCCTCCTTCCAAAAAAAACATGAAGTGGATTATCTTGATGCTAACAGAGATATCGAGTTTCTTTGAGTCATGCCCAGACTTAAAAAAAATAATGTATTTTATTTTCAACAAACTACATTGTCTTTAAAGAGGTTAGATTTTAATTATAGTTATTTGCAGTATATTTTAGTGCTCATCCAAAGAAAATCTCACTTGTAGGTTCTTTACATTCAAGTACCAAAGTCTTGAATATTACAAGTAGTTTTATTTTGTTTCTCTCCATTTCTGCCCATGTGTTAATCTATTATTATTATTTAATATTCTTGTAGCATGTAAATGGTGCTTTAAAAAGATATTGCACTTGCTCCTAGACTCTTAGGATAAATTTTTTAAAAGTATCCTACAATGACTTAGGCGTCTAAGTCCTATTTTCAAAAGTTATTTAGCATTTAACAGCCAAATTCCCATTGACTTTCAACGAGGCTTAGTTCTTAAGTCCCATTTTAAAAAGTGACTTAGGAACCTACGTCACTTATGGGTACTTTTGAACATTTGACCCTTACAGGTGAACTAGAACGTCAAAAGGTTCATTTTCCCCTCTCTGTGATTCTGCTGCATCTTAAATGGGATGTTTTCTTGAAACCAATAACATCAGGATACAAGTCTCTTCAGCAGCGTGTGTGTGTGTGTTATCAGCATACTTGATATTAGGACAGCAGCTGTTCTGTGTGTGTACAGCACCTAGCACAATGGAGTCCTGATCCAGAGCTGGGGCTCTCAGGTGCTCCTGCAATGGAAAGAATGAATAACTATAGTATGCCTGTCAGACATACTTACCATAGCACATAGCAGATGAAGAGGATACTTGCTCTCAGTATTCTATTTACTGCAGACGATTTATAACATTTCAGTATCTTCCATAATTCTAAAAGACCCAAAGAAGAGCTCTGTGTAAGCTCAAAAGTTTGTCTCTTTCACCAAAAAGATGTTGGTCCAATAAAAGGTATTATCTCCCCACTTGCTCTCTACAATTCTAGACAACATTTAAATAAGAAATAATCAGGAATCTCCTGGACTAATGGTAAATCTGATTTAAAATCTGAGATGAATCCTGTTCATTCCCCCTTCCAAAAACAAAAAGATAAAGGTTTAATTGAGTTATTCATTACAAATTGAATATTGTTGAACCTGTTTCATCTAAAGCCATTTGTTCCATGGAAACCACTTCATAGACTTTTCAGATGCAGAAGTTATAAATTTGGGATAATGCTAATATCACACACACATCATGGAAAAGGAAGCACGTTTCAAATGCATAAAGAAACTTCATAGGAAATTAAGAGAGAAAAATCTGCTAAAACTGATTCCACTCCCTATTACCTCCCACCCATATCCAGACCACCTCAAATATTTCAGGGTAAACTACTGAAATTTTCATAGTGGGTGAAATTCATTCCTTTGCAGAGGGCCATGTTAATCCGGCATTGAAGATTTCAGGGGACATAGACCTTGTGAGTTTCACCCATAGTGCCTCAACAACAAAAAATCTAGCTCATGACCTATGCATGGCCCAAATTAATTATAACTAAGAAACATCAGACACCTAGCTAAGGTGTCACTTACAAGTGCCCTATCAAGAAACTAGTTTTTCAATGCAATTTAAAAGCTACAAACATTTATTCCATTCTAGGAGGGGGCCTTTTTGTAACTAATGTTGTTTTCCTTATTATGGGCCTGATCCTGCAAAATGCAGAGTGCCCTAGGCTCCTTGTGTTGGAATGAATGGGAGCGGACGATACTCTGTGCCTCACGGGATCAATCACTGTGTCAGGGTCTCTTTGCAAAAGTAGTGCTAGCTAAGAAAGGGGGAGACAACTATTACACTGAATAAAAAATATGTCATGCTGGGCTAAGGGCCTGATTTTCAGAAGAGCTCAGCACATAGAGTGCTTAGCGCTGTTGAAAATCTGTCCCCATCTGGGGACCAAGGGCCAATTACCCTCCCATATTGATACTGAAGGGAGACCCTGTATCAGCTGATAGAACATTTTTCTTTTTATAGCAGCTGCAACCTTCTTCAGATCTTGACCCAGTGAAATGAAATGTGTCTCCTCCTCTTCTCCCCCTCTCCTCCCCCCCAGTTTTCGCATGGGAAAATAAATTGGAGGCGGAGGAGAGAGAAATGTCAATTACTATCTGATAAAAAAGATGGAATGTTTAGAAATATAGTATTAAAGGTGTTGAACCTCTCCCAGAATTGGTACATTATTTGGAACAGATATCTCAGGCTTCCGAGTCCTCAGCCCAAGTGTTCTCAGGTGCACAGTGCATGCTCCCCCCACTGGTTATATCAAAAGTTATGTCCAAGCCCGTGGGCGCTACTATGGAACATCAGCCTGAACTCACAGGCCCATGTGCTTAAATACAAATCAACCAATGAAATGTGTAAATTTGGTGGAATTTTCAGCCCATCTTGGTTGGTTGATGGTTACCATTAGTCACCTGGTATGCCCCAGCTTGATTCCTGAGCTTTGTTTTTCACCTCCCAGGCCAGGGAGTAAAGTGAAGGCAGCAAACTCAGCCACAGCCCAGAGTTTGAGCCTCACTGTACTGTGGATCAAATCCTGCCAGCTGAAGTGAGGCCTGTGGAGTTGCTTCCTGGCAAAAAGAGCCACTTAAAAATGCTGTCTTGTGATCAGGCACTAACCTGGCTGCTTCCCACACACAGAGAACCCAGTGAAGCCAGTCATGTTAGACCGTTTGTGTATCTCTGTGGATTAACCATTGTTTTCCTTGAAGGGATGGTGAAGTTTATATGCTGTCATTTCTCCATCCCATCACCTTTGCTGTGGTTTTTAAAGTGCCTTTTTCAAAGGGACACCGAGAGGTCAAATGTGGCCAAAAAAGAGAATTTAACAAACTTAAGACCAATGCAAATGTTCCCCAACCTTTTTTTTAATTTCAGTGGGAACAGGTTTGTCTTGCTTATTTTAAAACTAACCAATACTCCTGTGCAGTGCTCCCAACACAAACATTGCAGCCTTTTTCTAGTGCAGGAAAAAGCTGGATGTGAGACTGACTAGTTTATTTTCACTGTCACAGCTGAGGCTAATGCACCAAAAACAGAAAAAGGGGAGATGTTTATAATTCTTCCAGTGTTGATAATGTAAAGTGGGGTTGTAGCCTAGGGAAGCGGAGTCTGTTGTGGGTTGGGAGGAAAGGGAGTCAATCCAGTTTTGTTTTTTAATTTGATAATGTCCCTTTTAAAGTGTCCTAACCTCAGTATTCATGGCTGGGTTGGGGGAGCGGGGAGGGGCAAGTTTGTTTATGCTTTATGAAGCCCCACTGTGTTTTCTGCTGTGATGACTCATGGTGTTCTCTCTTGTCTTTAGATACCAGCCTGTTGATATCATTCAACCAACCAATCATGTATTGCCAGCCTCATTCGGGGATTCTGATTGGTACTTTGTCACAGGCATCTCTCTTACCTCCACCAATGAGTCCTCACGTAGAAAACCACCACAGCATGACCTGCAGAAACAGGGAATGCCAGGTGAATATCTGACTCTCTTCTATATCTTTGTGAAACTCACAGGCCAATGGGCCTTTGTGTTCTTTTTTTTTTTTTTTTTCTCTCTCTCTCCTCTAGATCATGAGCTGCTCAGGCAAGAGCTGAACAACCGGTTTCTGGTTCAGAGTTCGGACCGGGCCGGTGCCTCTCTTGGCCCGGTGCCATTGCTGAGGGCGGAGTTTCACCAGCACCAACATACCCACCAGCACCAACACACCCACCAACACACATTCACTCCTTTTCCATCCAGCTTACCCCAGACGCCGCTCATGCCACCCTCTGCACCTCCCATGGTGCGTACCCCAGCCCAAAATGTGAGGATAAGTAAAGAATCTTGGGGCAAAAGCATAACCCACCGTACCAAAATCAGTCCTCTTTATTTCAGACCGGCTTCTCTCTCTCCCAACCCCCAAGAAGCCCTGCTCCTGACTTAATTAAGCCCCTCCATTCTTGAAGGATGCTCTCCTTCCCATTCAGAACCAAGAACATTTATCATCCCGGTTCCCTTGTGCTCCTACCAATAAACAGATACACTGTGTGGTTCTCAGGCCTCTTTATCTCTCCTTCATGGTAAACTGTCAGCTCTGTACTTTTGTTTAGATTAACAACCCATCCTTGGAGCTGCATCAGCTGGCTCAGCTCCTTGACACACCCGCACACACATGCCCAGAGATGCCAGAAGAATAGAGGTTTCTAATATAAAATAAAATGTCAAGAAAGGTTTTGTGGAACAATATATTTGGCTCTCTATACTGGAGCATATAATGCAGGTCTGCTTGCTGTTCTTACTGTAACACAGTACTTGCACTGTTTGAGTTCAGTGTTGTCCTGTCTGTTTTATTTTCTGCTTCCCCACACTGTGTCCTGTAGACAATCTGGGTATTTATTATTTGATTTGGTCAGCAAACACTAATTTAAATGGGGCTGGCTCTTATGGGACAAAACCTTCTGGCCATCGAATAAGCTTTGTCATTTCGTCACTGACCGTGCTTTCTGCTGCTGTTAACAAAATCTAAGGGTATCTGGCATAAACCAGCTTTGTCAGTTCTTTTAAGCACCCTCTCCGTACATCCCTGGCAATTATTATTTTGTTAGGTTGAAAAAGCCAGCTTCAGCTTTTTCTTCCTCGGTTGCATGCCATATCTAAAATGTACAGAGTCCTCTTCGACCAGGACCGGCAAAATTGAGCAATAACCATTAAAGGCAGCATTTGGAGAAAACTATCAAGGATTCATGGGAAATAATATTTCTCGTTTTTCTTCCTTGGTGTGAGTTACAGGACGCCATTGTTCGGTGATAATCCGCTTAGCGACAGAACAATGAAAGCAATATCTCCCGCCCCAAATTGAGCCCCAGGTGCTTGCACAGCGTAGCCATGTGCAAATACCTTCTTCTCTTTTCTTCTGCTGTGTAAAACAACCCTCTAAACATTCCTTGAAACCTGGTGTGTTATTTGAGAACCCTGATATCTGATCCCGCTGACAGCTCCCTCCCCGCCCACCCACGCCCTGTTGATGTCAGACTTTCTAGTGAAAACAGCTTGCAAGGCTCTTTTGTTGTATTTTACTCACATCTTCTTATATTTCACTAAATAAGGTTTATTAACCCTAATGCCAGAGAGGAGTGTTGAAATCTCCAGCTGCATGTGTTTAGTAATTTATGGTATTTACACTGGCGGGTACATGGCTCCAGTAATAACTGTAATTAATGAAATTACAAATCTGCTCTCCTGCACGTAGGATAGCGTGTAACAGCAGCTGACTTGCCGAATGAACAGCATTCTGGGGGGGGGTCCTTGCTCCCTGTCCCTCGCCCTCCCTGGTCCCCAACAATACTTATTGTTCAAAGATGAAACATATACATTATTTTCTTCAAAAGATATTCAGGACCAATGCTGGTGAAAATAAATATGGGACCCGGGTCACATGCGTGGAGGTGTTAAAGCCCTGTGATGGGGGCGTTCAGAGTCAGGCTTTCTCCCGTGAGCACTGAACCTCTCCTTTTTTGGGAGTGGGGGGGGTTAATATAATGATTTCTATGCCTGGGGCCCTTTCCAAAAAGCTATCTTAACCATATTGGCATTGCCCATACAACAGGGAGGGGGAAATTGCTGGTTGCACTAGATATTTTGTTTTTGTATTAGCTTGGTAATTAGAGCTGGGCCAACGTTGCAGAAGTAAGATCTGGATTAGAATCCAAACTTCCCCAGCATTCTAACTTAGCGCTGCAATTCAGCTCATTAAGTAGAGATGCCAGATTTGGATCTGGGAACAACTTCCCTACATTTTTTTGGATGGAGCGAGTGTTCCAATCAGAGGTCTCTCTTGATAATAAGGAGGGGACCAATTTGTGCGAAATTTGTTACTCAGAGAGGTACTTCGGGGGCTGGTACACAACCAGGTGCTATAATTTTATCGCTACTAATCAACAACTTCGGGAGAACTGGTCACTCCCTCCTGAATGAGTGTGGAATAGTCAGTCTCCCATGTTCTGTTAAATGCTGTACAAAGGGGCCATGATTCACTTATGTATGTAGAAATCTGGGTTCATTATGTGTTGTGGAACGCAAACTCAACTTTTCTTTTCTCTTTTACTTCCAGTTTGACAAGTACGCTCCCAAATTAGACAACCCTTACTTTCGACATTCCAACGTGAGTGCTGATATTTTGAGACAGTTCCACTGTTTATGCTTCCGCTTACTAGTGCATTGCTCAGATGTCTTTAATTGATACAGATGGCGGTTTCGATTCATCTGTCCATGAAGTTTTCCTATTCTTGTTTGAATTGTTTGTAAATGTAAAATCTTGTACTTTTCAACTTTGTCTTCTGCGTTTTCTTCACTTTCTTTTTAAATTGCTGTGCCTGGGAAGGTGAGGAGTGCACAGAGATTTCTCATAGTGTGGATTACTGCAGCCCCGGTGCAATCTGAGCTTCACACAATGCAGTGCCAAAGAGCACATGGTCCTTTCATAAGACAAAGGGTACAACTACATGGCAATGAAAGACCCGTGGCACAGCAGTGGCTGGCCCAGGTCAACTGACTCGGGCTCATGGGGCTCCGGCTGCAGGGCTAAAAATTGCAGTGTAGACATATCCAAAGTGGGACTAGTGGCTTCATCCTGCTCCCCATTTCTCCACAGCACCAAAACTGCATACATTTTTGGTATTTGGTGTACAGTCTGCGTTCAGGAGAGCAGGAGGCCCAAGCAAATCTTAATACAGTGCTTTCACCATTTCTAGAGAATGGGGTGGAGGTGAGCCTTTGTCGGTTTCAAAAATACAGCAAATTGTATAGTCCAACCTGTTCGAAATTAACAATAAAGTGCATCGGATCTGCAAATTTTCACGTTTTATTTTGGCTTTTAAAAATTTTGTAACAATGTTTGACAGGCTTAGCTCCTGCCTCGGCTGTTGTTCATTTTGTCTTCTTTTTTTGTAGTTCTTTCCAACCTATCCTCCGGCAATGCCTGGAATGCCACCAATGCTTCCACATTCAGGACCTTTTGGGTCACTTCAGGGAGCATTTCAACCGAAGGTACAAATTTATTGTTATTGCATTAGCACAGGCTTTGTTCTTCAGTGGGAGACTGTAATCAGAATTGTACGTACGATGATTATATGAATGACCTTTTTGACTAGCTCAGATGCTTTTGGGGCCCAGGGATTGTTCTTTAGAGAGGAGTGCAGTTGTTCACATGGAAGTCTAAGGCCTGGTCTACAGTACAGCGTTAGATCGACGCAAGATAGCTTACGTCGACCTAACGATGTAAGTGTCTACACTAAAATTTCGCTCCTGCCGACATAACTGCCCCGCTACACCGACTTAATAACGCCACCTCTGTGAGAGGCGTAGAGTCAATGTTGATGTAATGAGATCGACACTGACACTGCATTGCTTACATCGACTGTTACTGGCTTTCAGAAGCCATCCCCCAGTGCTCAATGCTGACAGCACAATCTGTACGAGCGCTGCTGATGAGGACGCACACCAATGACACAAGGAGCATAGTGTGGACATGCAAAAGTGATTTAATTACTGCGGCAGCTGTATGCCAACATAACTTAGGTTGACATAATTTTGTAGTGTAGATTAAGTCAAAGCTAGCTAAGTAGAAACTCGGGGTCAAATAAATTATTTAGTTCTAATACAGACTGATGAATCCCAAAGCACTTTGCAAATTAAACAGACTGATACACAGGGGTCACTCCCCCAGCTAGATAACAGCCAGCTGTGGGGATGAAACTGACTATCAAAGCACAGGAACAATAGAGAGGAATGCTTTTTAGTGGGTAGAGCAGGAGTGAGGTGTTCAGTTCCCAGTTCTGCCACTGATTCGCTTTCTGACCTCCAGCAAGTCACTTACCCCTCTGCGCCTCAACTTCTTCATCTATAAAATAAGGATAATTACATACTTACCATGCCGTGGTTTTGTGAGGTTTATTTAATGTCTGTAAAGTGCTTTCAGATGCTTGGATGAAAGACAGAGTACAGCTGCAGAGTATTATTATAACTAGTGCAGATTGCAAATTTGCAAATTTCACCATTTTAACTTTAAAAAAAACTCCGTGGCACATACTTTTTTCAAACATAACGTTCTTTTTTTAAATTTAGAAAGTGTACTGAAAACGTTTACATCCATTCTAACAGAAAAAATCCATAGTACACAGAGATTATTGATGACATTCTTATAAAAGTGACACTCGGTCTTGTTGTGATAAAGCGAGTTTATACCTTCCTAAGTGACGTGGTTTTATAGATCTCCTGTCATTTCTAAACACATCTCTGCAGAGAGATAAGAAACAGTGATCTGCGGAATCACTGTTTATTAAAGGGCTTCAGGAACCAGCACTGTGTCAGTTATGCACTGTTTGCATTGGGAAGATCAGTTTTGCAACAAATCAGCAAGAAACTTGGGGCCAGGGTGTGCATTTACTCGCACTGGTGAGCAGTTACTCACATGAGCAGTCACTCACATGAAGTCGATGGGAGTGAATAACTACTTACCATTGTGATTAAGGACTTCACAAGATATTTTAATGGAAGCTAAAGGAACTTTTCAGTGGTTTATCAAGCCTCTGTGAGCCTTTTTTTTTTGTAAATAGGTCATTTATTATGGATTCTACACTATCTCAACTAGAAGATTATACAAATTAAGTACAGGAATGGAAGAATAAGTTCTCCAGTTAAATCCAGGCAGAAGGGTGGGCAGGGGGTGGAATTTAGGAAGGAATTATGTAATTACCTAGCTTGGAATTTGGCCAGAACACCACGGTTAATGTTCCTATTCTTGTGAAGAACTCCAAAGGATCTCTAATGACCACAAGTGGTCAGGACCTCAGTTTTACATCTCATCTGAAAGAGATGCACAAACCCTATTGAACTATCACTGTTGTAGAATACCTCTGTCATCAAAAGATAGTACAGTTCTGCTACAAGGCTGCCTGTAATGAGACAACCTCTGATGCACTGATAGTGTGTTCTTCCGGTTTCCATCTTCATTACCAAACTTTATAATACCATCTTGCTGTAAAATACCGTGAGACCTACAGAGAAACTGTTCTGCAATAAGAAGGAAGGAGTGAGCACAGGTCTTTCACATTTCTAAGGAGTTCCAAGTACTTTGTAACTAGATTTTAATTTATTTTAGAGATAAATACATAGAACACTCACTAGTTCAAGGTTAAACTGCACAAGATCACATTCTGCTGCAGTGGTTAATCAGGAACATGGTGTGGGCACTGGGCTGTGCTGTATTTACATGGAAGCTAACATCTGGAGGGACATGAATGAGATGAAAAATTGATCTTCAACTTGTCACATTCTTTTCCAGTTCCCTAGAGGAGCCGAAGCTGAGCCTCTAGGTGAAGCCACACAAGATACTGTCACCTCCTTTCCCCCTCCCCCCCTTCCTCCCAAGCTAGATAATTAGGACAGACCAGTGGCTTGATTCTGGCACAATGAATTCAGCATTCCCTGTCCTACAAAGCAAAGGGTTTGCTTTTGTCCATGTTTCTCCCTCCATCCCTCTCATGTCACTTGCCTTAGGCCTGGTGTATAAAGCCACTCACATAAATCCAGGCTGACTATAAACTTCTCAGTGAGTTTCCCAAAAGCCATTCTCACAAGCTAAGGACTTGAAAAGGTCAAAAGTATTCAATTTCCTTTGCTGGGAGAAGCATTCACATCTGTCCTCAGGGGAAAGGAGGACAGAATGACACTCCATCATTAATGCATTGTGATCTCAAGACTCTTGACTGTATCATAGCTGTGACTTTCGTTTCCTCCCTAAACCTCAGCTGACAGAGACCCTAGGAGCCTTTGAATGCAGGTCTGTCAGTGGAGTGCTTCTTCACTTAGACAATTCAGAATTGTCTTTAAAATAAATATTACAGTTTTAACAACTTGACCTGAGAAAATTAAACTAAACAAACAAACCAAAAAAAAACCTGTTTACTGATTGCTCCTAAAATCTGGCTGTTTGGAATCTACAGTCACATGACCTAAATTCTGAGTAAAACAGCCAACCAGGGAATTAGCCCTAAGCTCTCTGCACTCAGCTTTTTGGGGGCAACAGGTGAAGTTGTTTGGGGAGTTAAAGATTGATTGTTTACGTATAATTCCAGGTCTTGGGCTTCTCTTGCAGCCAGCCAAGGGAGGGTTCTGTGAGCTAGTCTAGAACTGAGAAAATCCAAATGGCAGCATGGAGGAGTAGTAACTGGGATTCTACACTCCCAAGTGTTTAATCCTCCTTGGGGAAACAATAGAATAAACAATTGAAAATAAGATGGGAAAGTATTATTATAAAGTACCTACTATGCTCATTCTAGGGTTTACCCATGCCTACTTCTAAAGCTATGTCTGCACTAGGCTCTTTTTCATAAAATTGCCCACCCGTACATCTCTACCCATGGCAATGCTAGTATAGGTGGGCTGTCTGCATTTTAGCCATTGTGTCTTCTAGCAGTTCAGAGAGGCAGGCTGACACAGTGGACAGAACACTAGACAAGGACTCAGGAAACCTGGGTTTTGTTCCTGGCTATGATATTGACAAGCGGTGTGTGACCTTGGGCATGTCACTTCACCTCTCCATGCCTCTGTTTCCTCTTCCACCTTTTGTCTAGTTGGACTGTACACTCTTTGGGGCGGGGACTCTCTTACTGTGTGATTGTACAGCACCCAGCACAATAGAGCTGTGATCTCAGGGGGTCTGCAGGTGCGACCACTGCTAAATACTAATAGATGACATGGAGATTAAACATAGTTGGGAGCCAATGAGAGAGAACATTTAGCACTAATATAGCAATATGCAGGTCAAAGCACAGTACAAACATTGACTAATTAATGCCATTTACTACAGCTAGAAATATTAAGTGTGCTGCTGGTACAGTACAGTGTCACTCATGCTATTTTCTTTTCTTTTAGACTTCAAATCCAATTGATGTAGCAGGTAGACCTGGCACAGTCCACCACACTCTTCTGCAGAAGACTCCGGGGGTAAAGCAACAATTTGCAACTTTTCTTTTACTCTTCCTTTAATTCCAGTAAACAGTTTGATTGTTTATAATAAAGAGAATACCATTCAAGAGAGAACTAGCTTTGCAGATTGAATGTGCTGTTATGGCAATAACCTCCAACAGTTCATCAATGCAGGGGGATTTACGGACTCATTTAAACAAAGTCCACCGGAAGTGGAGTGGGAAACCCTTTAAGCTCTTTCCTCTTAGCCTTGTTTAGAGAGAAGCAGTTCTTAATGCACTCTATTGTAGGAGGATTACTTGGTTCTGAAAAACCTTGGCACTGTCTGGTTGCTGGCATGCAACTGCTTTATCTATCATAAAATCCTGTTGTGTTTGGTGCAAGAAATGAAAGACACAAGTTTTAATAAAACTCCTCTCTTAAGCCGCTTGGGGATTCCTATGCCACAAGGGACTTCTCTAGAACAATGCCTTCCTTTATGTTTTCATTTGTTCAGAGGAAGGAAGTTCCCTACCCTTCCATATATTGGTCAGTTTCAGAAAAATCTCTAATTTTTATTTCTGCTTTCTTCATAGGTGTCGGACCCCTATAGACCGCCAGTAAGAGTAAGTAAGGGTTAGGGGGAGGGTGTACATTTTTATTAAGTACAGTTCACATGCTTTTGAAACTTAACATGTACAGCGTAAGTCTTATGTTCATCCTTTACTTGAAGAAACATGTAATATAGTTAGCTCTCAGCTGCATCTGAGGAATATCATTCAGGTTAAAACCCAGTCTTGTTTTGCATGGAACTGTGATAAAGTGAAACGTATAGTTAATAGACGTAATAATATTCTTCATGCCATTTATTGTGGCTTTTTAGGGTGATGATATGTAAGTCAGAAAGAACGAAGCATGGCTCTCTGAGCCCAGGGTGTCAACTCTGAATGCTGATGTCCACCACTCCCAATAGGAGTAGTGAAACTAGAAAAATATTACACCTTGCTTCTCAATTCCCCTTTATTAAAAAATAAATAAAAATGTCAATCAATTTCAGGACACCAAAAAATGTTGATCACCTCCCTCTGCCATCTTAGCAATTAGTCTCTCTCATTTTTAACTGTTTTAAAGAAAGGGAAATAAGTGGTTATGTCAGATATTCGTAGACCGTAAGCGCTAAAGTAAGCTACATTCTTATCCTTTCGATTACAGAAGCCTGGGAAGTGGTGTGCAGTTCACGTACAGATTGCCTGGCAGATCTACCATCACCAGCAGAAGATAAAGGTAACAGAGCCAGTTTAGTCAATGAAGACAAGTCTTCTGGCTTATTATAAGCTAAATTCTAGTGACTAATGAGTAGGAAGCAGAATACTAGTGATGATGCTTCAGCTTGTGATGTATAGATTAACTAAGGCTTTCAAACTTTTAACATCTGTGGCAGAAACTGTTAAGTTTATCTGAGGGCACGGAAATTGGGTTGAATGGTAGGAAAAACACACAGCAGATATTAAGTATGAAGCCAGAGGAAGTTCAGAAGAGGGGGAGGGGGAGGGTAATTTTGCCCAAGATCCAGCTTTTTACGAAGCATACATGTTTAATATCATTTCCCTTCTGCACTAGTACCTCCTGTGGAATATGGAGTATTATCCTATTCAGAATGAAATGACCGATACGGTGAAGGACATTTTACAAAACATAGAGCAGGCGAGTAGAATGATAGTTACTGTGTTAGAGGTGGATGGGTTTTCTTCTTTGATTCTGTGGGGGGATGGGAGGGAATTTAAAAACTGAAGAGATAACAAGATTAGGTACATTGGGTGCCATTACAAACTCAACATTCCCCATGCCAGGTGCCTACACTTAGAATAGCAGATACCACAGTAAAACAATCTCTAGTGATTTTTTTTTCATGGCTCCCACTGTAGTTTTTATCCAGTTAATAATGAATATTTACTACTTTCACTTGGAGCTTTTTAATTAATGCCATTAAAATGGCAAATGTAAATTTTAGTAAGTGAAAATATCATTTCAGCTGTACATTTAGAAAAAGACTTATTTTCTCAGCATAGGTGAAGTTTGTCAATGTATCCGTCTGGCTCTTTGCTAGAAGCCTGGCATACTCTAGGAGAAGGTTAAGAATCTCATCCAGAGTCTCAGAGGCAGTTTTCTTCATTCCTCCACATCTCTTCTCTCTCCCTACCCCTTTCATTTGGCGCTTACTAGCTGTAGAAAAGTCTGCGAAAGTCTCTCTCTCTCTCGCTCTCTCTGAACTGGAGCAACAAAGCACAGAACTCTGTTGTCGACTCTTAAGGCTTCTGGTTCTGTCTGTAGCTTTCAGCCTGTGGAATGTTTTTTTGTCAGGTCAAGACTGCAGACTGATCCTAGGGTGCAGTGCACTTAGTGTATCATGTTGCATGCTCCGCTGTGTATGCTGTGGGGCTAAGAGCTCACTTCAGACCTTATTCATGTGAATGAGGCAGGCAGCTGAGAAGCTGTGGAGTGAAATGGCCTTATAGATGTTGTCAGACTATGACTACGGTATCTGACCAGAGACACTGCCGTCACACTCACTAACTCTCCCTGGCAGTACTAAGCAGCAGTGAGCCTGAACGCTCTCTTTTCTCCCCATAAAGAAAGGAAATGTATAATGAGATTGTTCTTGTATCATTTGACAGCAGATGCAGCTGGATCCCCACAAGCTAGACATAGGCGGTAAACTTGACCTGTTCAGCAGACCTCCTGCCCCTGGAATTTTTCCAGGATTCCATTACCCACAAGACCTTGCCAGGCCTCTGTTTTCCACGACAGGTAAGGAGAGAATTATCATTTTTGCAGAAATTGATTTCATATGTTTTCCCCTTTTTACTATTATGTATCAAAAATTAAAGCAGTACAATGTTAGTCTGCATAATGGTTTGAAAATATTAGAGAATATTGGTAAACTATGCTTTTAGAACAGAGCCGTCTGTTCTGCTGGGTCTTCCTATTTTAATCCAGATGGAACTACATGTTACCCCACAAGACAAGAGATGATGACAAATTACAGTAAACTCTGATAGGAATTGCTTCTTGAATTTGAGTCTATCTAGCTGGCTTTTAGTTTAGTTTTCCACACGCCGGATTAACATGCTCTGTGGAGCTGCTCAAAAAATGATTTTGCAAAAAAATTCAAAGTTGTTTCCATTGCAGAGGGTTTGAAATGGATCCATTTTCTGTTGTTGTTTTTTTCTTAATTGTCCATGCTGTATTATACTCCCCCACATTTTTGTTTTTTGTCTGTCAAAAACATGGTTTTCTGAGAACAGAAAGTTTTAGTAACAATTGATTACAAAAATTCACAGAAAACAAAAAAATTCAATGTTGACAATTTTTTATTAAAATCTTTTTTTCCCCCTAAACCAAAACACCATATAATTCACATTGATATAATCCACATTGAATTCTTCCTACTAGCTCTGATTGAAACAGTCTGCAACTCTGATGTTCTACTGTGTATGGTTATTGTTTTATATTCAGGAATATTTCCAGCTGCAGAATACTCTCTCTCTTCTCCCCCTACGGTCCTTCTTTCCCCCAACCCACTTCTGACTATTTCCGTATGTTATATATCTGTCTGCCCTCAGAGCTAGGCATGCAGTTTCTAGCTGCAGTCAGTGAAAGTTGTGCACTTAGGCTGACAATATATAATTTTAGTTTATATAATTAACTAGTGGGTAATTTACATGGTGTTTTTCTTCCCTCACCTTACTCTATTTTTAGGATTACTCCTGGGGGAATTCTGTGCCACTGCACAATACAGAATTTGTGCAGAATTAATGTTCTGTGCAGAATTTCATTTTTCCCTGCAGAATTGGTGTTGCAGAGCTGCTGGCCGCCACTAGGGGCTGCTGGACCCAGCAGAGCCTGGCTCTCTAGCTTGCAAATACAGGACACTGCCTGGGGCGGGGGGAGGAGGGAGTGAGAGCTGGAGGGTTCCGGGTAACTGGGGTTCCCAGCACGTACTAAAAGAAGGAGGCGGCGTGCAGGAAACTGCATACAAGGCCAGGACCCAGCATCAGGCTGCTTCTCTCTCTGGATCTCTGGGCTCTGGGGGGTGCATGTTTCTGGGATTGGGGGTGTCTGGGGGCTGTGGGGTAGTTTTCCCCCAAGATATGCCCAGCTGGCACATGAGACACAGACTGAGGCACCCAACAAAAGCATAACAGAGAAACAGGAACTGGGTTGTCGTAGAGGTGTCATTATCTCTACTTCTGGTGGAATTTTTTTTATTGTCCGTATTGTTGCAGACATACTTGCTGACAGGTATTTTGAAATAAATTACCAAAATAATTGAAACTGGTGTGATTATATTGTTTTATTTTGACAAATAAAATATGTAAACATTTGCAGAATTTTAAAATGTGTGCAAAAATTTTTATTTTTTGGCACAGAATTTCCCCCAAGAGCAAAGGATTGCAGTATCACTTGTGTATATTTGTGACCAATTTAATCGAATTCATTCCCAGTGTAACCCCATTAAAATTCATGTGGTTAAAAGTAGCATGAATTTTTGCCCAAATCCTAAAAATAAAACTAATCCAGCATCAAGTTGAGATTCTAACACTGGCTTTAGGTAGCCTTCAACCTGCATAACTGGGACCTGTTTGTCTGTCTGCAATGATTTGTGGACGTGAATTACAAAGGAGGAGTGACTGGTGACTTCACCGCACGTAAGCAATGTGCCCATCATACAATTTTTATGCTGTATGATGCCAAACTGCATATGTATGTGTCTATACAGGTGCCCAGATGCTATGGTGATGTCTTTATGTGTGAATGTGTATACATAATGATTACTTTAACTATAGGAGCTGCTTTTCCTCCCACTATCTTCAAATCAAACCCTTGTTGTTTTTAAAGATGCCCACATGATCTCTGGTTTTGCTGCGGAGGTCTGTATTATAGTACAGTTTGCGGTCATAAACAGAAATGGTCTATTGCAGCAAAAGTGCTGTCCAGTTAGTATCTTTAAGATTTCTTGAAAGGAAGCAAACATGCTTGAGAAATATCTAGATCTCTAATGATTTAATAACGACAAGCTTATCTCTTAACGAAAGCAAGAAGAGAAGTAGCATAGAATAGATTTGTTTAAAGAAGGCAAATTAATAGAATCCTTTACTTCAACTGGAGATAAATAACTTAGAGCAACTAGTCTGTGAGTATATTAATCACAACAGCCATCACACCGTAAATCTAGGTAAAGTGTGCTATCAGAGAACAGCAGAGTGAACAAACATTGCAGCAGTAATATAGGGATAAATAAATCTTTTACTCTACAATATCTGAGGCATTCTTTTCACCTGATTGAACAAGTGCGTAGTTGGTGTGAATCATTGGTTCTGCTGCATTGCCTTGTTACCGTGGGAGACATAAGTTATCTTAGGGCCACCTGTCTTCAGGACGAATGTTCAGCTGCCTGGCAGACGTTATATTTAATAACTACCTGACAGCCCACAGTGCTGCTCCTGGCTTTCTCCAGAGGATTTTTTATTATCAGCCCATGTAGTTGAGTTTGTAAGCCATCTCCTTTGAAGAAATCTCCCATCCGTTATACATCTTCTGAAATCTTAAAGGATTAGATAGATGACAGTCTCCATCCATCTTGAAGCAGTGGAGCAGTTGGAATGTTTATAGATAACCTCTGGTTTCGTTGCTGTGGTCTCTCTTAAGTTTCCTTAATTCATTTTCTGGCTGCTTAGGTTTGCAGTGGCCAAGTTGGTGTGGGACTCGTGTCTTTCTCTGGGGCTTTAAAGTCTGCTCATGTTCCCGGGACATCACTCTGTTTAACACTGACCTTCTGTGCACCAGTTCCTGCCACAGATAATGTATAGGTACATCCATGTCCTGGTTTGGACTGAGTCGTATTCACTTTAGGGTGGTGAGGATTGGCCATGTTTGAGTAGCAGTTTCTGCTCTGAAGTCTTAATTACTACCCACTGTAACTCTTAGTAGTACCACATCCCTGTGGGGCCATGTTGGTAGCAAGTGCTGCAGCAGACCCTACTTCTTATTCCAGTCTTAATGGAGGTGGGAAAGTTAACTTTTTACTGATTACGTTTACAATGCAACTTGAGAAAAGCAAGCAATAAAGCACTGCACCTGAAGGCTGTACTAAGTTCTTGGTCAATTTGGGGCACAGCTAAGCCTGGTCTCAAGAAAGTGCCAGTTCTGTCATTGCCTGATGGAGTCCCATTAGTTCATAATAAAATGTGGAGCTGGGGGCAGCTTGTTTTTAGAGGTAGATATGTTTTTGTTTCCTTTGAGCAAGGCAGGAGGGTATATTTACATTAAACCACTGTCTTAAGAATTTCCCAGCATTTCAGCTGCAATAAGGGGAATATTAGCACAGGCAGGGCCTCCAACTGGTCACCAGCATTTTAAACAGCGTGTCATCTATCCCTGCATGGAGCTGGTCTACCCAACCTAGTGTTTAAAATGCTGGCAGCCACCCGGGCCTTTATATAAGCTAGGTTTCCCACCACTGAGACCACCAGTTGAGCTGAATTAACCATTAGCCATGATGGGAAATTTTAGGGAAGATTTTCTACCATAGACAAGGCCCCAGAAGCCTTGAATCCCAGCAACTCAGCAAAGTCTGGCGTGGTGCTCCACAGCTGGCAGTGAATGTCACCAAACTCGACAACAAATGGGCAGGGGGACCTCCTGTGATTTAATGCCAGTCTCAAAATGCAACACACCATGCATTCAGGGAACCTCAGGGAAAATACCCTGGGATAGGGATGATTGGTGTTGTGTTCCTGATGTCCCCGTCACAAAGAGCTGCTTCACATGCATCCTTGCCAGCAGCTGTCCCACTTCAGAATGGTCTCTGTCTTGCTCTGTGACCTTGGGTGACCCAGCCCAATTTAAATACAGTGAAATAAATGACCATGCTACATGAATCTTTTATAAAAAGGCATCAAGATCAGAGTTTTACAGAGAGTTAGTACATTTTGATGCATGATCTTACATTCACCCTTTCTCTTGCCCTGATTTAGGGAAAGAAATTCTACCCATTGCTAGGTTTCAGATGCCACCTCTGTGGTGCTTAAGTATGTCCCGTACCTTTGTTATCTACCTGATGGACAGGAGCTTCAGCTTTTCATATTAAACACTTACCCATCGCTGGACTAAAAACATATCACTCCCTTGTTGTCACAGGTGCTGCACATCCAGCCACCACCCCTTTTGGACCCTCGCCTCATCACAGCAGCTTCCTGCCTACTAGCCATTTGGCAGGTAAGTGTAAGTAAACACTGCTTTCACATTTATTGTTCTATTTAATTCATTCCCTGACTCCATGGATCAGCAGTGTCTCAGAGACTGGGCGGGGGGGAGGCTTAACCCCCCACAGGAAACAGAAGCTATGTAGGAATCTTCCCCCAACATACCCTTTGTTTTTCCACCTCCAAATTACTTCCTAAGGTCAGCAGGCTTAGTAGATCCCTCCACTGCCAATGGATGGAGAGTCTCAGAAAGGTGGAACTCCATGAGTGATAAGCCACTGTGCACGCTCACTTACATCTTAGATGTAAAGGTTTATTCCATTCTGTAGTTAAATGTGTGTGTGGTGAAAGAAACAATAAGAATTTGTGCTATTAGATGGATAAATACTTAGAAATTAGGAGGCTTATCAAAAGGTGATCAAAAGAAAAAGGATAATTTAGCACTTCCAATCATTGGCAAAATATATCTCAAACAAAGCATAATTTAAAATGTTTCTCCCACATCCCTTCCCACCTATTAAGTTCTTGGCTGGGTTTTTTATTAGAGCTGGATGAACAGTTGTCCAATATATTTTGCTTGCTTTTCTGTTCCCTAATTGGCTGTAAGCAGACCTTGATTTTCTAAAATTTCTTCATTCTAAATTATACACAAAATTAGTTTTTCTTGTTCGACATAGTGCTCACGAGCAGTTCATGATATCACTCAACGTTCAAGCTGTGTTGGTTAGTTTTGGTAATAAGGGTTTTTCTACACGTGGAGTTATTGAGGAATAAGTGTGTCTTTCTGTATTTTGCGTAATCCGCTTCCAAAGTGGATTAAGATAATTTGGGGAAAAAAGGCATTTGTATTTCAGAATCAGAGTTATTCAGGAATGGCCATTCCACTTTAAATTCACATCCTACCTTATTCTGTACTAACTGTCATGTGTTGTCAAGCCCTTACTCTCATCCAGTCAGTGAACAGAATATGCCCTATGATGACCTGTTTGAATTCAATTTCCAGGGCAAAAACCCCATGGGAACCTGTTTTCTTTGAATTTTCTCCAACACTCAATTAAAATTCACTGTTTCTGCAAACGAGTCACTCTAATATTCAGTACAAGAGTAGGGTGCAAACACAGAGTCAATTAGCGTAAAAATTCTAATTGATGTATTTGTGGAAAACTTGGTAGTGTTCACCCAGCTCTTGTATGTTATTTAAGGTGTTTTAGGTCTGGTCAGAATTTAATGGTAGCAGTATAGTGAGGGACATAGGCGCTGACTCCATGGGTGCTGTGGGGCTGCAGCACCCATGGGGAAAAACTAGCAGGTGCTCAGCACCCACCGGCAGCCAAGCTCCCCCCACCTCCACCCCCTCCTCGCCTCCTCCTCCCCCGAGCGTGCCGTATCCCTGCTCCTCCGCCTCCCAGCGCTTCCTGCCCACCACCTAACAGCGGCACTTAGGACTTTCTGGGAGGGAGGGGGAGGCATGGGGATGCAGCACGCTCGGGGGGTGGAATTGGGGCGGGGTGAGGGTGGGGCAGGGCCGGGGTGGGGGGGAGTTTGAGCACCCACGGGGCAGAGGGAAAGTCGTTGCTTATGGTGAGGTAACTTAGTGCTCTGGCTTAGCAAGGCCTTATGACTGTGGTTTACTTTCACACTAGTGAGTGAGGATAAACAATCCTCTGAGGCTGACTCTACACCAGCCTTTTCTCTCTAACATTTCCCAACTATGGTTACCACCCTAATTGTAGCGGTTGTACAGACCCTTCTCTAGCCAACCGCTCATCTAACCTGACTCAGAGCAGGTCTAAAACACCAGGTGGCTCACACTCAATAGCCCCTAGTCTACACTAGCCCTCCCAGTGTCACTGTGACTAGAGGCTCTGTACAAGGAATTTTAGTGCAAAAGTCCCAGGTGTATAGTTGCTATAGGGATGGATGTCTGTAGTGATTCGCTTAGGATTATGTCTGTGAAAAGGTTACACAGCAGACAATACAGAGGTGCATACAAAAGCGATAGTGAAACAAGACAACCTCTCAGGCCACTCAAAGTGCCTGCAGTTCCCGTTTCAAGGCAACTGAAATATAATAGTAGTGAGCAAAGAAAGTTCATCTGTATCAGAAAGCATTGTCATAATAAGCCGTCAACCCCCTGCTTGCTAGAATGGTTTTGTGTTTAGTTCCTCCACTAACTGGCTAATGCTGCTGAAATATCAGCTAGCAGCAGTGTGGTGTTTGTGTCTGGCCTCACCCTTTCTCAGGTGTAGGGTTACTAATGCAGGAGCCTTTTGTTATTCTATACCAAGGCTGCTGGGTTTTGTCAGAGCTTTATTTTATATTGATGTCTACGCTGTGACATGGCGCAGAACCTAGAGTAGGCTCCGAAAGGAGCTGGAGAGCAAAAAGTGTATCAGAGTCGTCTTATGTCCTGAAAAGGTTATTGCAAGGCCCACTCATGCCAGAAGACAGTTTACAGCTCTTCACTGCCAGGTGTAGCTTAGTAGCTGCCACCCCAATTTCAGCTATTAGAACTTAACTTCTAGCTCCCCTCTGACTGGCATACAAAAGTTGACAGCATCTGTTTGTGTAGTAAGCACTGAATCCCTTCTCCATTTTTTAACATGCTGGGAATTTTCTGTGCAAAGAACCTTGCAATAAGGAGGATCAGCTTAAAGTCTGACCTAATCCTACTTGGATTCAGAGCATTCAAAAGGGGAGGGGTGCGTTTCATTCTCCAACATTCTTGGCTAAATGCCTGCTAAATCCCTGTTTGCCTTTCCAGATCCATTTAGCAGGTCAAGCACCTTCAGCGGCCTTGGGAACTTAGGCAGCAATGCCTTTGGAGGATTAGGCAGTCATGCTCTGAGTAAGTACTGGCTGGGTTACTGCAGACAAACATCCCTTCCAAAAAAGCCACATGCTAATATTTACAGCAGCTGGTGGTAGTTTTTAAAAAAGTCATTTCCTAACCTCCATTATCCTATCTGAAAACACTGCACCTAAGATTTCCAGGTCTCTGCAGTGGGAGCTTTTCTGCATGTCGCGTGTTATCAGTAGCTGTGCTTCTGCATCTCTTCACCGCTCAAGATTGTTGCCTTGTGTGCTCTTAGAGGTGCCAGAGCCGTGAAACTCCACTGAGCTCTGCTACCCTACTGGCGTGTGAAGTGACACCCTTCAACAGCGAAGACTTGCAGTACAACAGCCATTGATATCTCTCCTAAATCACTGTGCAGACTTACCCCCTCCCGCCAATGCCCATGGTTTGAATGTTAAGTTCCACATATAGAAGGATTTTCCTTTAAAAGTACATTACTGGCAGGTGAGGCATGCTTGGCAGACACACGTAGGGGAGCATGCATGTGCATCTCATGCAGAACGGGATGAATTCTGGATTGGTGGACAAAAATCAAGTGACTGATCATACTAAAAGGAGCGTGTGAACCACGGACAAGCTCCGTTTAAAAAAAATAAAAAATACAGCTACACATCACCTATGCTTTCCTTAACAAATAGGGCCCTGAGTCCTCACTGCAGGCAGCTGATTTTCTGTAACTACCTGCAACCTTTTAGTTTATGTCAGTGACGGAGCTAGTGAGTACTGGTTGTGATGGATCCCATGGTGGCGGGGAGAGAAAGAGAAGCTGGGCAATTCTGAAGCATCTCTCGTGGCGTTAATGGTCTCATTACCTTACAGGAGTTACTCAGATCTGTAGTTAAAGCTTCCCCCGCAAACAGTCTTAAGAGCTGCTGTGTCTTTCACCAGTTATCAGAGGTGGTTGAAACTTCCTGCTAAGAGCTTTCCCTGACCCCAAAATGAGAAGCCTTGAAAAGATAGTTATGGTTATAATTGGCACTTCACAGAATTTATTTGGGATAATTTGGTGTGAATTATTTTTTAACTCTTGTTCAAAAGAAAAAGAAAAAAATCTGTTCCCTTTTGCCCCCCACTGTTCTAGCTCACAACAGCATATTTGCTCACAAAGACGGTCCAAACCTACAGAGCTTTAATAATCCCCACGAGCCATGGAATAGACTCCATCGAACCCCACCTTCCTTCCCGACACCTCCACAGTGGCCTAAACCAGGGGATTCCGAACGAAGCTCCTCAGTAACCAACCACGACAGAGACCGGGAGCGGGAGTCAGAGAAGAGGGATCTTTCACTGAATAAAGACGACAGAGAGAAAGAGAGGTACGTGGCAGGCACGCTTTGGGCACTTCCTTGTACCCCTTAATCTTCAACTCCCCCTCCAGTGGCCTTGATTTCGGTATAATTGTAAATCTGCTGCTGAGTGATGTGAGCAAATCCTCTCTGAAGCTGTCAACAGGCCTTCTCCTCCACTCCGCACTGCCATAGGCATGGTTTGGCAATACTCTCTGTGGCAACGTAGTGAACAAGTCCGTCCTCTCCTGCCACTAAGCCATTTGTCAGGTAGACTCTATTCCCAAAGTGTCTCTCATTAGACAGCTCTCATACCCAGGCATGGTGAATGAAAGCTGCTGTGGGCTACAGTGTTTTCTGTCTTTCAAAACATCTCAGATAAAGGTTTGCAAACTGCATTGTGATACTGTGATCTGATCTCACCAGTGGCGAGGTTAAATTCTGACCTCTTACTCCCATGCACCAAAGTCAGGAAGATTGTATAGGAGTAATTGTCCCAGAATCCTAAATAGCATAGAGTTATAGTCTTTGATACAATTTACAGACACACATTTTTTAAGGGGAAAGAAGAACCCCTTTGCATATAAACTTAGAGCTTGTCTGCATGGGAAGAAATTAAGACAAATTAACTAAAGGTATGAATTTCAAAGTGCGTTAGTTAAAGGGCATTAAACCCCTATCTGGACATTCATTTCAAAGTAAAGTGGCATTAGGTCACGTTAGCTTAATTCACTTCACTAAAGCGAACAAAGTTCACTTTACTTCAGAGTGAGACCATCCAGAAAGGGGTTTAATTTGCTTAAACTTTAAAATTAGGCCAACAACTACATTGGTCCAAGGTATGAAAGAAACACACCCATGATTGACACAGCTAAATCAACCTAATCCCCACTGCAGAGGCTGCTATGTTGCGAAAGAATGTTTGTGTCAATGTAGCTACCATCATTTGGGGAGGCGGTGTTCCTACTCCAATAGAAAAGCCCTTTCTGTCAGTGTAGGCTATGTCTACACTATGGGGGTATGCCATAGGGTCCGTAATGTAGGCAGGCCATTAGTAAATCAGCTTAACTGACCTAAAAACATCACCAGGTCTGTCTACGACAGCATCTAATACCTTTTGCTGAACCAATACCAAAGGTTTGCCAAAATTCAGTGCCCTGAAAAATAAACAAATGGAGATAAATATTCACAAAACTCCAACAGCACCTACTAGTTTTCACCAAGAGTCATTCAGCCCATGACAGTAACCCAACAAAAAGCTTGGGCACCATTAAGTTTCTCAGTTGTTTCATACTTTGCGGTTAGCGTACCTTTTACCCAAAGATCACAAAGTGCTTTGAAAAGGGTGAGCATTACTTGCCTTCCTCACCTTTTAGAGATAGGGGAAACTGAGGTACAGTGTGGTTAATTGATTTGCCCAAGGTCAAACAACCCATCTGTGGCACAGCTGGGAATACAACCCCACTCTCCTGCCTCCCATTCCCACTCTAAACATTGGATATCATCCCTGCTTGTGAGAGACCTGCCTCATTTAGGCAGCATCAGTGCATTGAACTGTCTGTGCCTCACAGCAGCCCTTCTTGAAAGGCAGTCTGATCAATCAGTTTCATGTGCATATATCTCCCGTGCCTGGCATTTTTTCTTATCAGCTTCTATAACTGCTGAAATTGCAACACTGAGCTCAGTTAAACTGAACTAAAAAGCAGATCTGCTGCTCCCTAAGAAAAATGTTACCTCATGTCCAGGCTGCTCAAGCCCCAAGATAGGAGAGTTGAAGATGGATTTGTTTTATGAAGTATTTAGTGTAAATGTGCATAGAACTCAAGGCTAAGTTGCCAACAGATGCAGTGTCTGTCTTAGATCCATGTCACATGGCATCAGTGCAGCCATCGAGGTAACTCAAGCAGATCTTAGCCATTAATTTTCTAATATCCTTAGGTAATAAATTGTATTTATTGATTGATAGCATAATGATCAATGGCTGGCACAGTCTAGAAAAATATTTTTTAAATAATCTATTGACCCTTTTGGCCCTCCACTAGCCTGTCTTTTAAGGAGACTAAAGTTTAAATTGAGATAAGGTCACCTGTGAAAGGTGACTTTGGTGTTCTCATATTCATGTTCCATTTTGCAAGTCACCAAACAAGTGCTCATGTGCAGTCCATAGCTGGACTAGCCGGCTGCAAGATAGTGCTCAGCATTGAACACTACTATACCTGCTGCTAGCCAAAGCTGTTAGTCCCTCATTTTCAGAAGGTCTATGTTGGCTCACAATTTTAATAGTAACATATACTTTATTGACTAGAATATAGTTCTGTTCATTGTTGGCGTAGGTGTTTGTTGTAAACGAGCACACACCAACAATAAGGTATTTTCTCTTTACACAGGGATCTCATGGATAAAAACAGACATTCAAATAGATCCTCACCGGCATCAGCTCCTGTGACCCATCAGATCAGCAACCTCATCCGCAGCAACAGTCAGACCTCCAGCGATCCCATCAGGCAAGTTAGCATTGGTGAAAGGGAAAGGTCCAAAGAACCAGAGAGAGAGCACCCTGACCGACTGAGAGAGCCGCCCATAACAGAACACAAGATAAAAGAGAGCCGTTCCCCCGTGAAGGAAACTCCAAGCCATGATAAGAGACCCTCTGAGGACAACACGAAGCCAGTAATTCAGTCTGTATCTCCCTACAGCAAACCTGCACTAAGTGAGAGCTTGAAACTTAGCAATTTAATGAACAAAGATATAGAGAGAAAGCCAGAGCTTCCAAGTGACCTCCAGAAGATTAAAAATGACATCAAGGTCAAAGAGGAGCGCAAGGAGGACAGTGATGTGCTGGTGGTGGGATCTGAACCTTCACAGCATTCCAGAACAGTGGAACATCCGCCACCACCTTCTTTGCATGGATTACCATTGCCCCATTCTATGGCCGCCACAATGCCTCTCTCCATGAGTAGCGTTCACCAGATGAACAACATGAATGTTCTAGACCGCAGCAGAATGATGACCCCTCTCATGGGCATGAATCCTTTGTCAGGAAGGGAGAGACTGCCACATCCTGGATTTTCTTGGGACCCAGTGAGGGACCCACTGCGAGATGCCTACCGGAGCTTAGACTTGCATCGTCGAATGGACTTCCAGCTCCGGACAGATCCCATCCACAGGTTCCCTACCACCTCTGGATTTTATGACCATGAGCGTTCTTACAGAGACAGAGAACCGCACGACTATAACCATGAAAACCTTCTTGAAGCCCGCCGAGAGCAGGAGCGGTTGCGGCAAGTGGAGGAGAGGGAGCGCTTGCACTTACGGGAAGAACTTGAACGTGCCAGAATGCACCACCTGCACGCGTCCCCTATCGAAAGTCATCTGGCACACATGCCATCGTTCATGCCTCACTTAAGCGGGATGCATTACCCCAGACTCAGTCCATCCACTGCCATGCACAATGGAATTTTAAATAGGAACCCACCAACCGCAGCGTTGAGTGCCCCGCCCCCTTTGGTACCAGCAAGCAGTACTAGACCTGCCTCCCCACGCAGGACTACCCCACTCACAAACTCAGAGTCCAGGGACTATTCCCCCTCTAGGAACCCCAAAGAAGTAGAGGCACGATAGTCCCCAACAGGGTGAATTTTAAACTTGGCTGTATATAGAACAACAAAAATCTTTTACAAAATGCACTGCTGTAACCTTTTTTTTTTTAATGTAAAATTTATAGAAGTTAAGCACAGTTCCATAAATAATGGGGTATGGGGTTTCAAACTTTCCAACAAGAAGGTTGCTAAGAATGGGAATTTAATATATATAGGTATTGATTTTTTTTTTTGTTTCTGTGCTAAAATTAGTTATTAAAAATATCAAGTTTGTACATTTTTTCCCAAATGTGAGAAACATTTTTAATGGATTTGTATTTTTTTTAATTCTGTGCTCTTTATTCACTTAAAAAAAAGAGAAATTTTGCTTTTAGTTAAATTTGCATTTAAAATGCCTCAGATCCTTAAGAAAATTACCCAGGGTTTCTTAAAGTATTATTTATGGAAATACTGTAGTTTCTTACAGTCCACTGTGAGGTTCCCTAACTGAGGCCAATCGATCACTTATCTTGGTACTTTGGAACCGAAGTTACAGATATATATTAAAATATTATTATTAATAATAATAATGTACAAAACTGTTTGTTTTTTGCCTTATAATATTATGCAGAAATTTAAGAGGAATTTTTTTTGACTTCTTGTTTTAAACAAAACAAACAAAGAAAACAAACTGTAAATATTCTGTTAATATAAATGTACACCAATATTAAATTCTTAACATAGGTAGACTTTATAAAAAAAAGGTTTCTAGAACCACTCTGGTTATTTGTTAACATGGTTACAACTCATTCTTGTCACAGTCAGAAATACACACTCAGAAAGCTAAGTGCAGCATATATACTTCAACTATGCAAGAACTTGGAGGCAGGTCTTAGTGGATGTTGGGGGGAGGAAGATTTAAAAAAAAAAAAACAACCCGAAAAAAACAAAACAACTTGCAACTCTGGAGACAGAATGGAAATGGCATGTGAACAGAAAGAAGGATGCTTGTGTTTAAACAAAAAAAAAAAAAGACTGCATTTTTTTTGTACAAACACAAGGGACAGTTCACCAAGGAAGAGACGCTCCTGGGAGGAGATTTTGGTTTCCTACTTTTCAAGATGGCAAAAACAGATGGAACTGGCACAGTACCCATGCGGCAGACCCTTTAATTTTTTTTCTTTTTTCCTTCTTTTTTTTTTTTCTCTTGGTTTTTTTTTGTGTTGTGGGCAGGCTCGCTGGCAAGCAAGGACAATTTTCCGTGGACCCCTTGTGCTAATTGTGCAGTGTTCTTATTGGAATCTGTATACAAGACAAAGTAGAATTTTAGGAGTGCAAAAAAGTCTAATGGTTGATTTTAAAAAAAGAAATTCTGATGTATTATCTCTATTACATGAAGACCATAAGCAAATGTTTGTTGCAGTGTGGTTCTGCCTTGAACTGGCTTTTTGGAATGATTTTTATTTTTATTTCAAATTTTACTTTTCATTCATATGTAAATTTTGCCATGTTTTACTTGCTGTACCATTTCCCCATCCTTTATTTTATTTTTCAGTATCCATGTTTTATATATCCTGGGCTTTTACTCTCTAGTTAATTCAGCCATCTGCTACTATTTTCTTTCCTTGACTCTGTATCTCGTTTCCCTCCCTCCCCCTCCCAACCTCCCCCCTGCACCCCTGTAATTTTAAACATTCAGTTTCCTTGTAGATCAATGAAGATAAATACAACATTGATTTTGGATGAAAAAAGGTAGTTGAGTGTTTGTGTGTCATAGCTAGTCCTCTTGACTTTGAAGCTAATGGTTTATCGACAGATGTGCTGAGCCCTTTAATACCAATAGTGCTTCAGGTGCTTTGATGGCCCAGCCACCGTGTGATGAAGAGGTTGAGGGGTTTGTTTAAAAATCTTTCCTTGATTAGCATCCCCTTACCCTAAGAACCTTGCCCATTCACCAAGGATTTAGCTCTTAGCACTTCAGACACAATATCAAAGGTATCAGAACTAAGAACTTTGACAGCTGCTAGAATAAATGGCGTATGAAGCAGCTCAAGTTTTACCCTGTGCAAAGAGTGGCACTTCCTCATACAAAAACCGTAACTACAAGTTATAGATGTCTCTGTAGCACATACAGGTTTATGCCACCTTTTGGAGTTGGTGGGGGGGGGGGGGGGAAGTAAAAATGTAGTAGTTTCATGGGCACCCTCTGTGCATCAGCTTGCTTAAAGAACAATGCTGCTGGCATAGCTATGGGGAGAATAGGAAGGTTACAGCCCCGAAGGTCGGTTCGTCACATGCATTTCATGTATTTCCCCCTTAGGCTGATAGCAGACATCTGCAGGGAGTGGGGGCACTCTGAATTCCCCTTACCTCCTTCCTATCAATAACTAACTTATTTAACAGTGGGCAAGGCTGTTTTAACAGCATGTTACAGCTTCTGTTTAAGTTTGTGTGTGACTAAATTACTCAGTGTAAAAAAAAAAAAAACATGGTCTTTAGGCTGATGTGAAAGGAGACAAAATAAAATAGGCATTAAAAATCAGCACCTGCTACCCCACCAGAAATTGGAGAAATGTATAACACATGGTGGAAGTGAAAAGTGTGTTGGCCTCAGCACAAAGAGCTATTAGTAATCTTGGCTCATGGATAATGTTGGCATTGAAATTCTCTTCCACCACCATTGTGCAATGGGCCATCTTGTTTGACAACACTTTTACAGTAGAGCCCGAGGCAAACTCAGCATGTTACAACCTTAGTGTCCATTAAAAAGATTGTATAGCTATATCTTTTCAATGCTCAGAAAGGTCAACAAGATTGTATGCAATCCAGTTAAAAGCCTACTGTACAGTAACAGTCCATGTAATACTTAATAAGTGGGCATTAATTTAGTGGCCAGCTACAATGGAATTCCTAAAGAATTACATATTGCACCCACATGAGTGCCAGAAGAATTCATCATGGATGGTATTCAATCTGTCACAACAGCCAAGGAAGTCTGTGATTTGCCGTTTACTGTATTGTGAAGCATTATGTGAAAGTGTAACAGCAATGGTTCATTAATGCGGCATCACAATGGAATTCCTATGGAATTATACAGTACTGTTCATCAACTTCCATAGCAAAACAGTTCATCAGGATTAATCATATTATTACACTAAACAGAGAAATTAACTCAGCTTTACTCCTTTAGCTACCCCAGCTGAGCCTTCTCTTACTAGAGGGGAGTACTACACAGATCTTTCTGGTTGTTAAAAACTTCTGCTTCATTTATGCTCTTTCAGTTTCCCACCCTCACTTTTGATTCTTCCATTTTCAGCCATCATCTGGGAGCTTTTCCCCCACTCGCTGGTAGAGGTGGAACTTAGTGGAAAAATAGCAGTGGTATTGGCAGCTTCTGAAGGAAGTGCGTGGAATTCAGCAATCTCATTGCTTTCACTGGAAGGTCTATTTACAGAAAGAACAAGGAGAGGGAAATAAGCTCTTGCCTACATTAACTCTCCTTTTATCTGAGACACCAGGAGCGTTCATGTACCGACTGGAATACAGTTGGCTTCCTGGCATGAGGTTTATAATTATGAATGTACTATCTTCTGTTCATAAACAGTTATAGGCATCTTTTTTTTTAATTGAATGGTCAAATAATGAAAAACTGTACTGAATATCCATCTGACTGGTTGGGTGGAGACAGTGGATTATAGGCTAAAGCTAATTCCTAAATAGGGGATTGTTGGAATCCTCAAATTTACATGGCAAAAAAATAAGCATTAAATAATTTGACAATAAGGCAAATCTGCTGATCCCTCACCTAAAGAACAAACATCTGGGAAGCATCCACATTAACTTAAAAGATTAAAACAAAAAAAGTGTAGTGTAGCTACGCCCTCTAGAACTCCTCAGTTGTCCAGGCTGTCATAGCAGGAATTCTCAGATTTTGAATATGCACAGCATCATCTTTGGGCCTCATTATCATTCATTAGTTTACAGAAGGAGCAAAGGAAAGAAATTAGAGAAGCCAAAATAAGCAGAAATGGAATGTCCCAACAGTTTCAGAAGGAAAGGGAGACCCCAGCACTCAAGAATTATGTCAGGCTTTTAATCAGAGAGTCTTACATCCATCTCCTAGGTCAACCTCATGTCTGAACCAGCAGAGGGGAAATGAACAAATTATGAGTCAGACTCCTTGAGTTAGACAAAAGTGGATGCCTGTTCTAGGGAAAAAAGGGACAAAGGGAAATCAAGAGCACATTTTCATCAATTTAGACTGAACAAAAAAAAAGAGGAACTCTGATAGCTCCTTTAGAAAAGTTCATCTTGCCAAAGCCACAAGACTATAGATGTTACAATACTGTATGAATCCATCCCTATTCCGCTACTAGACAGCATGTGAATTCAGACGTTCCAATCTAGGTCGTTTGCTTGAATCAGACCACGTTAGCTTCTAAGTTCTCAGAGAAAATAATCTCTGTAGCAGAGTTGGCCTGTAGAATTCTATTGAGCAAAGGGTGGGGAAACTTAAAACGCTCCGATAAAGTCAGTTAGCTGTAATAGCTTTCCTAAGACGTAGCTGACACTCGGGCGGAGCCTTTAGCTAAACCCAAAATAAACTAATTATATAGTCTGTTGTGCTGGCCTTGAGGTTTCTAATGCATTCAGGTGTAGCCAGCAAATACATAGTCTCACACGCACTATTTCTTCTAGTAATTAATGCATTTGTGAAAGGGATCAGTTCTTCCTTCCTTCACCCCTTATTCCTAAGGAACTACCTCCATTCACATGGATCCAACTATCGACTTTCTGCTGATGGCTCAACTCTGTCTCTGCGCAATGCCACATATCCAACTGTCTCTCTGCGAGGTCATCCTGGATGGCTGGCTGAATACAAACATGACCTAACAAAAGCACCTTAATTCTTCCTCTCTCCATAGCTGCACACACTACCATTTTATTCCCATAATTTAGGCTCCTACACTTGGGATCATGTTTTGTATTTCTCCCTTCGCCCCACATACCCAGACTCTCTTCAAAGCTTGAAACCACTTTTCACATTTTAAAAATCTGGCTCTTCCTTTGTGCTGACTGCTGAAATAAATAAAAATTAAAAAAAGCACTGGGCCATCCTCTAGTTATCCCCTGCCTTGATTCCCTCCTTCATACATACTTGCCTTCCATCCAGAACACTAAAGCTGGCTCATCTGGCAGTTAGTACTTAAGAACATAAGAACAGCCATTCTGGGTCAGACCAATGGTCCATCTAGCCCAGTATCCTGTCTTCTGACAGTAGCCAATCCAGGTGCTTTAGCGGGAACAGACAGAACAGGTAATCATCAAGTGATTCATCCCCTGTTGTTTATGCCTGGGCAGATTCAGTAATTCTACCTTTTGCATTAATTTTGAGAGGCTTTGCAGCCATTTATTGAAGGAAGCAATCCCTTTTTATTCTCGATTGCCCTCAAAGAGAGGGACAAATTGTATATTCTCTTGAGCCAGAAATAGCTACATGAGCATCCCCCAAGCCTCACCTGCTGGAAGTAAAGTAATCCTTCCCTTTGCCAGAGTGAAGCTTAATACAAAAGGAAATGCCTGACATTCCCATGATCTTCAATGAATTCACACAGCTAATTCCAGACCCTGATTTGGAAAGCAACCGCTTGCTTTGTGACAGATGTTATATCATTGTCCATGCTTCACCGAAAGAGCTGCTGATAGGACACTTGCTTTGAATTCTCAGCAGAATGCATGGAGCACAGGCAGTGAGGATTTTTGATTGCTGTATTGTTATTCCTTATTATTGTGCATGGGATCTCTATAGTGCTTTATACTGGTAGATGCTTGCCCACCCATGAATCAAGATCAGGTATCCAAATTTCTTAGGTGAAATTGATTATCCCCTTGCACTATCACCTCACTTACTTGGGTTCTTAAAGGTAGATTTCTCTTTGTGGTCGGGAGGCGTTTAACCTGGGAAATAAAGGTAAGTCAGATTTTGGCAAGTGGCTTTATCAGATACACACAAGTTTTCTGGAGCTATTAGCCCTGATATTAGTTCTCAAATAGCATCAACATCCACCTCCCTCCTAAGGAACAATATGGTAGGTGATGGATTCCACTTTTAACAGAGTTCTTGAAGGCCAAGGTAACACTCCATACCGAGTTAGCTCCTTCCTGCTGCTCCTGAAAGATATCAGAGCACTGAAGTGTCATCATCCCTGCTTAGATGCCACAGAAATCAATATTTTATCTGGAAGATGCCATTTCTGGTAACACTGTATTACATGAAATAGAAGAAATAAAAGCCTAAGGGCCAGGGGACTCTATAAATTACAGATTTAGAAGCCTAATTTACAAGCCTAAATTAAAGACTACCATTGCTGAACATAATGAAAAGCCAAACAGTGGTCTGAGCATAATCCACAGGATTTCCCCCCTCCCCCAAGCCTTTCAAGGCAACCTGCAGCAGAAAGTCGATAGTTGGATCCATGTGAATGGAGGTAGATCCTTAGGAATA